ACCCCACACCCACACCCACACACCACCCACACCCACACCCACACCCTAGGCTCACTAACGCATGTCACCGGATGGGTGCATGTGGATGATGTGGGTCTTCCAGCGCGTGTACGAGCTTTACGCTCGCCACAGCGCCACCAGGATGGTTCCTGGTCGCGCGCGGGCGTGAATAGAAATTAAAAAAATTTTTTTTTGGTTCAAATGCAATTTATTGAATTGAAAAAAATTGAACACGACTGTTTTCATTATCGACGACATAGAGATTACCTTGTCGATCGAAGGACAAATCAACGGGAAGATTGAACTGATTTGCTTCTGCTCCTTCACCATTTCCACCCACAATAACAGTACCCTGTTTTGCTCCTTTAGGCCAACGCATGACTCGATGATTCCCCGAATCTGCCACATAGATGGTACCCAACATATCGACGAAGAGTCCGTTAGGAAAAGACAATTGTGTCAGAGCATTCCATTCACCTTGATCTCCAGCGACGACAATGCCTTCTTTTGCACCTTTATTCCATTTCATTACACGATGATTGTCTCTGTCTGACACGTAGACAGTCTGTTGTTGATCGAGAAAGATGTAGGTCGGAAAGTTGAGTTGATTGAGACGAGCACCTTTGCCATTTCCACCAGCCACGATAATTCCATTCTTGTCTCCTATTTGATGTCGTCTTACTTCATGTTTTTTGTAGTCAGAGACGTAGAGATATCTCTGATCATCCATGAACAATCCTCGACAATCGATGTTGTCAATGAGGATTTCACCTTGAGTTGCGCCACTACGACGAGACCATCGTACAACTCGTCTATTCCCTCGATCGCAGATAATGAGACTATCAGTCTCTTTGTCGATTAGCACATCGGTTGGCTCATTCAATTGATCTAATCGATTTCCTTTGCCATTGCCACCAGCTACAACTTGTCTATTCGTATCACCCATCTTCCATTGGACGATACGATCATTCCCCCAGTTAGCAATGATCATCGTTTGATCATCATCAACGAAGAGACCGAAAGGCCAGTTGAGTTGATTTGCGGCATCGCCTTCTCCGTTCCCTCCAGCAACGGTCTTTCCCTTTTGTGACCATTGAGCATCGATTGGAATATTGGGAATAACTACAATGAACAAAGAAAATGAATCGTCATTATCGAAGAGATTTTTGTCGCTCATACAAGAGAAAGTACTTTCCGTAACTTAGTCTATAAGAAAAGGACTTTGTAAGAATTCTGTTGTGTCAATAATTATTTCTAATATCTGAAATGCTAAGCTGTCAAAATTCTAAGGAGATTTCCATGTACGATTTCATAAGTGAAAAGAAAACAAAATTTTCCAGGCATGAAAAGAAACAAAAAAACAATGAATAGTTCTTTTTGTAGAGTTTGAAGTGTTCTTTCGGATGATAAGTCTTTCTCATTTCTCTCTTTCTCTTCTCATGCTCATCAATTTTCTATGTTCCTCCAAAAATTTCAGCAATTTTTTTGCTTTCTATGTCGTTTCGAAGGGCATTGGTTACTCTAGCCAACGCTATAGTTTTCTTTTCACTTATTCTCTAGACTAAAGGGAGGGTCATCTCAAATAAAATCTACCAGTATGTGTGTATGTGTCAGGGTGAAAAAAAACATTGTCTGAAACAATAATGCTCATTTATTTTCTACATCTACTCTGGTAGAGCTTGACAAAAAGTTTTATGGGGTTGAGGAATAGATTGGTACCATGGGTTTTTGAAAACTTTCAGATAGATGTTTTAGTGAAAAATGGCTTGTTTTAGCTCAGAAAAAAACTGTGCTCCAAACTAGGTAAACTAAAAATTAGAAGCTCATTTTAGGAACCACCTCGGACAGCAGTAGCATCACATGGGATGGTACTAGCATCAACTGGGATGCTAGGAGGATCATTTAGGATGCTAGTAGCATCAACTGAGATGCTAGTAGTATCACTTGGAATGCGAGTAGTATCACTTGCGACGCAAGTGGCCTGACCTGGAAGGCTGATACCATCACCTCGAATGCTAGTGGTATCACTTGGGTACGTGGTAGCATCACTTGGAAGATTATTAGCGTCACTTGAAGTGCTAGTAGCATCATCTGAAATGTTGATAGCATCTTAGGTGATGCTACTAGCATCCACGTTGATGCTCTAAGATCCCAGGCTATATATCTAGTGAACATTAGTTACAACACCCAAGGTAGTATCTCAGTGGAATGCGATCTTACTGCGATAAACCAGAAAACATGGATTGTGTTTTATTGGGAAAGGGTGGATGGGTAAGTGAGCTCCATACTTGGAGTTTATATGTGGAGCTCACTTTTTTCGAATCCGTTGGCGAACAAAACAATGATTTCTTGTCAATTTTGACTAAAGGTTTTTGGCGTCGGCGAATTGATTGGTGGCATTGGTTTTTGAAAATTTTCGAATGATTTTTTCACTGAAGAAAGGTTTTTTGAAGAAAATCATGGTTTCTCATAAAGTTTGACTTAACGTGCTTGAGAGTTGAGAACTCGGGTCTGTCAATGATTCCTGAAGATCAGTGAATTTGAGGATCACAATGTGGGATATCATTTCAGTCAATAATGTATCACAGAGTGCACCAAATAATTCGTCTTACTTCAGAATAGAACTAATCACCGTTTGCAGAATCGGTACCTTATTTTCTAGCAAGCATTTTTCAACGTCATATAGGTTTCAAATTGTTGTTTTTTCTATGGTGTTTGTTTGAGATCATTGAGGAAACGAACACGATGATGAGTTATATGAATTTAAAAGCTATGCTATGTAAACGTATATTTTTTTGTTCCCTCGATTGTAGGGAGGCTGATGTGAAAAGAATTGGAAAGACTGTGTCTGTCTGTCTGTTTGTGGCAGAGTAAAAATAAAAGCAAAAAAGGTGAATTTGTTTTCATAACAGTCGAGGAAAGTCGATTTCTCATAATTTTGAGTTTAATTTTTTGGATTCAGGAAAGGGTTTTTTGAGAAATTAACGAGATTTCCTTGGCTTAAGGGAGGATGATATGAAATAAAATAAGTTTCTATGTGTTAGGGTTAAGAGAACGTCGGAGTCAAGGAAACATCGACCAAAAGATTTATGATCAATTTGAGAGGAAGAACAAATATGCTCGGACTACGTTGTAAGAGAATTAGGACATGGATTTAATTCAATCATGACAATGCACTGCAAGCTGTTTGATTAAGTAAAACTCTTTTACAAAATAGTCGTCACTGAAAATACTATAGATAGATTTTCGTCTGTGCATGTATTGCACAATAATTGTTAAAGCCGGACAGAGAAAATGATAACAAGATTGACTTCAGTCGAAGATTAAGTCAGTCCTGCCGACGAGCGTTATTTGTTCCATATCTTGGTAAGAAACTTGAGGAATTTTGAGAAATGAAGGAAAAAAAATCTTTTTTTCGCTGTATACTGTCTTGATTTTCTCCTCAAACAATTGACGTAAAAAAATTAAGTATTTATTCTGATCGAGTAGCTTTTAGTCATGTAATTATCATAATCTTTGCCCATTAATATATGACTGAATAGAGCAACAATTTTTGATTTTATTGATAAATAAAATAACTAAAGTTTCAGCAGTAAAATCTATTTTTCTCTCACTATTCGAAATAGCTTCATACTATATTTGATGTAACATTATTTGTCTCGTCCAGATATGAAATAAATTAAAAGAAAACTATACCGTTAGATAGACTAATTAATGCTCTATCAAATTATATAGAAATAAAACATTCTTGAAGTGTTTGGCGGAAAGCAAGTTGATAGAAGGAACTTCTTCTTTGAAACAAATATAAAGTAGGTTTATCACGTTGAGTTTCAGTGAATCAGTGCTGATCTTTGTATTGTCAACAGTGTATTTCTGGTGAAGTATCTTATATCTCCACCAAAAAAAGAATAAAGTGTTGGAAAACTATTACTGTGTACTACAAAAGTTGCAATTCACTCGTATATATGTGCATCTACTTGTTTCTTTTCTGTTTAACAAATGAGAAAAGTATTATGAACTTCGTTCATTTCTTTGCCAATATGCTTATCCTTATACAAGATGTTTCCAAAAGTCCGCTCGAAAAAGAAATGTGATTCTTTCTTTAACTGTTCAAACGATTGACTTGAGGTTTTTCTAGTTTCATTTCAAAAACTTCCGATTTGCAGCATATCTGTAAAAAACATTACGCAAATTTTTCTTTTGAAATTTTGTTTTGACCTTATTATGGATTTTCAAATTCAACTTAATGAGATCTTTAACCGATGTCTTGCAAAAATGTTTGTAAGAAAAATCATCGAGTCACATCAGGTCAACTGACCTATTTCACTTGTTTGGAAAGATGTTCTTTAAAAATTACAGATTTCACGGCTACAATGTGGAAGAGTTTCATCTTGGTAAAATACTATAGGGTTCATCTAACATAAAGTTCGTAATTCTAGAATAGAAGAAAGACTAAACGTATAATAAAATTTTTTTTCCTTGAAAATGTTACCGCCAAAAAAATTGTCACAACAGTCTATTTCCTAACATTGTAACGTAAATGTTGTCTTTCAAAGACTGCATAACAATATCAAGAGTTCTATGTGAATTTTTTTCACTCCACTAGCTTGCTATATTTTAAC